GTACATTGCGGAGTCACTTGTTTGCACAGAACTGCTTAATGCCTCAAATGATGTAGTGGAAGTTTTAGCAGTAAAGGTCGAGAACCAAAACCTAGTCATTGTGGTAGTCTACAAGCCTCCGGATGCAACATCCCAGCAATTCCAGGAACAGCTGTTAAAAATTGACCACTGTCTGGAAAATCTTCCAGCTCCTGCACCCAACATCTTGCTCCTGGGGGATTTCAACTTAAGGCACCTAAAATGGAGGAATATAGCAAATAATATCGTTGCAGTAATAACACCAGGAGGCAGCTCTGATGAAAACTCACACTCACACGAGCTTTTAAATCTCTGCACAAAATTCAATTTAAACCAGCAAATAATAGAGCCTACTAGACTGGAGAATACACTAGACCTCATCTTTACTAACAATGATGATCTGATAAGAAATGTCACCATATCAAAAACAATATACTCAGATCACAACATAATTGAGGTTCAGACATGCATGCGTGGAGCCCCAGACCGACATAATGAGATAGTCACGAGAGGAGCATTCACCAAATTCAAACTTCAATAAAAAAACATAAAGTGGGACCAAGTAAACCAAGTCCTAACCGATATAAGCTGGGAAGATATACTAAGCAACACAGACCCCAACTTATGCCTAGAACAGATTAACTCGGTGGCACTCGATGTATGCACAAGGCTTATTCCTCTAAAAAAAAGGAGGAGTAGATGTAAAATAGAAAGAGACAGGCGCTCCCTTTACAGGCGACGGAAAAGAATAACAGAGCAGCTAAAAGAGGTCAATATATCTGAAATGCGTAGGGAGACACTGGTCAGAGAAATAGCAAGCATCGAACTTAAGCTAAAAGAATCCTTTAGGAGTCGGGAAATCGCGGGAAGAACTAAAAGCCATAAATGAAATCGAAAGAAACTCAAAGTATTTCTTCTCCTATGCTAAATCAAAATCGAGAACAACGTCCGGTTTATTGGGCCCCTACTTAAACAAGATGGGTCCTACACAGATGACAGCAAGGAAATGAGTGAGCTACTCAAGTCCCAATATGACTCAGTTTTTAGCAAGCCGCTAACCAGACTGAGAGTCGAAGATCAAAATGAATTTTTTATGAGAGAGCCACAAAATTTGATTAACACAAGCCTATCCGATGTTATCCTGATGCCCAAAAGACTTCGAACAGGCGATAAATGACATGCCTATGCACTCTGCCCCAGGGCCAGACTCATGGAACTCTGTGTTCATCAAGAACTGCAAAAAGCCCCTATCACGAGCCTTTTCCTTCCCATGGAGAGGGAGCATGGACACGGGGGTCGTCCCACAGTTACTAAAAACAACAGACATAGCCCCACTCCACAAAGGGGGCAGTAAAGCAACAGCAAAGAACTACAGACCAATAGCACTAACATCCCATATCATAAAAATCTTTGAAAGGGTCCTAAGAAGCAAGATCACCACCCATCTAGAAACCCATCAGTTACACAACCCAGGGCAACATGGGTTTAGAACAGGTCGCTCCTGTCTGTCTCAACTATTGGATCACTACGACAAGGTCCTAAATGCACTAGAAGACAAAAAAAATGCAGATGTAATATATACAGACTTTGCAAAAGCCTTCGACAAGTGTGACCATGGCGTAATAGCGCACAAAATGCGTGCTAAAGGAATAACAGGAAAAGTCGGTCGATGGATCTATAATTTCCTCACTAACAGAACACAGAGAGTAGTCGTCAACAGAGTAAAGTCCGAGGCAGCTACGGTGAAAAGCTCTGTTCCACAAGGCACAGTACTCGCTCCCATCTTGTTCCTCATCCTCATATCCGACATAGGCAAGGATGTCAGCCAGAGCACCGTGTCTTCCTTTGCAGATGACACCCGAATCTGCATGACAGTCTCTTCCATTGCAGACACTGCAAGGCTCCAGGCGGACATCAACCAAATCTTTCAGTGGGCTGCAGAAAACAATATGAAGTTCAACGATGAGAAATTTTAATTACTCAGATTTGGTAAACATGAGAAAATTAAATCTTCATCAGAGTACAAAACAAATTCTGGCCACAAAATAGAGCGAAACACCAACGTCAAAGACCTGGGAGTGATCATGTCGGAGGATCTCACCTTCAAGAACCATAACATTGTATCAATCGCATCTGCTAGAAAAATGACAGGATGGATAATGAGAACCTTCAAAACTAGGGAGGCCAAGCCCATGATGACACTCTTCAGGTCACTTGTTCTATCTAGGCTGGAATATTACTGCACACTAACAGCACCTTTCAAAGCAGGTGAAATTGCCGACCTAGAAAATGTACAGAGAACTTTCACGGCGCGCATAACGGAGATAAAACACCTAAATTACTGGGAGCACTTGAGGTTCCTAAACCTGTATTCCCTGGAATGCAGGAGGGAGAGATACATGATTATATACACCTGGAAAATCCTAGAGGGACTGGTACCGAACTTGCACACGAAAATCACTCACTACGAAAGCAAAAGACTTGGCAGACGATGCACCATCCCCCCAATGAAAAGCAGGGGCGTCACTAGCACGTTAAGAGACCATACAATAAGTGTCAGGGGCCCGAGACTGTTCAACTGCCTCCCAGCACACATAAGGGGGATTACCAACAGACCCCTGGCAGTCTTCAAGCTGGCACTGGACAAGCACCTAAAGTCAGTTCCTGATCAGCCGGGCTGTAGCTCGTACGTTGGTTTGCGTGCAGCCAGCAGCAACAGCCTGGTTGATCAGGTTCTGATCCACCAGGAGGCCTGGTCACAGACTGGGCCGCGGGGGCGCTGACCCCCGGAACTCTCTCCAGGTAAACTCCAGGTCCAGGTAAGTCAACTCATTCGTGATTGCGTATTGGAAATACCACTTGGACAGGTATTGTTTACTTTTGAACATCGGCAAAGGTCGGGCATTTCTGCTACTTGGAGCTCAATTTCAATGTACATTTCTTTGTGAAACCAATCAAAATCATATCTATTTCTGTAATATATCTTCCATTCTATCAAATGAGACCAAAAAATGAGAATACAACCATACAACTAAATAAATACTGAACAATTGTATCTCATAAATGTTTAACCTGTGACCCAATCAAACTGTTATTTTTAATTACATTACCTAACAGAATACTCCATTCTACTGAATGCTCAGCAACACAGTAAATGACCATATGACCTGTCTTTGTAATACTCATTTGTGCTTAATTGTTATCTGTTTACAATAATGTTTACCACTGAATATATCATTGCTTAGTTAATCTTCAGTTAATTTTAAGCCTGCCCATAATGCTCTGCATACAAGGGGCTTTGGCATGTTACACTTAACCACTGTACTTTTTTTGTACTTCAATGTATCATGTTCAAATTAATAAATAAATAAATAAAAATCATACGAAAATATACATTTAAGGGACGGCTAATGGTTGAGAAGTGAACTCCGTTATTTATGGTCCAATTTCTTTCAATTGTGGTGTACATTAACCCTTAAACTGTCCACACGTAGATCTACGTTCATGTGCGGGTGGCTCCGAATGTAGATCGTTTTATTTTTCCATTCCTTCAAATTTGGCGCAATAGGTCTGATTCGCCTAGACATGAAAGAATGGGTCTGTGCACTCAGTGTGCGCACTATGAAAAAATCGGAGACCACTTAGTACCTTGTGGGAGCATTAGTTCAATTGAGCGCCAACTAGAGTAAATAGCGAGGCAAACACCAGTGATTCACTGATGTCATGTCATATTAATACTCACATTTTAAGAGGAAAGTAAAAATAGGTTAGATAAATGCATGAGTGAGTGTGAGTGGGTGCGAGTTGAACCTGACTAGCTTGTGCTACTAGGTCAGATGTCGTGCTCCTTCTTTCAATGGATGTAACCTGACTAGGTGGGTCACTGGTCTAACCCAAGGGGTTAAATGGACCTGCCTTGCATGGGCCAGTAGGCCTGCTGCAGTGTTCCTTCTTTCTTATGTTCTTATGTTTTTTATCCCATTTGAGAAACTGCACCCAAACAAATTCTGTGACTGTCCTTTATATTAAGATGCAACCAACTAAATTTTCCTTAATGTACACAGCACCTCAGCCCCTTTTCCTGTTGAGTCAGTGTTGAGTCAGTGTTGAGTCAGTGTTGAGTCAGTGTTGAGTCAGTGTTGAGTCAGTGTTGAGTCATGTATGTGGCATTCTGCAAGCATGTCCTTATTTTTCAGATTGAACCAGGCTTCAGTTACTGGAAGTAAGTTTTTATTCAGGTACAGGTACACTTAAATACAGTTACATAGATTATCATATATAGCAGCATACATCTAGATTACCCAGGATAACCCAAAAATAAAGGTCAGAGTGACTTATTTCCATTGCATTATCTTTGTTCTTTTGCACATGCAATTATTCCTAGTTTGTCGAGTTTATTTCTTGCAGTTGTATTAAACACTAGCAAAATAAAGCATTACATTGGTATGAAGAATTGAGAGATTAGAACCGAGTCTTATTTTAGAAGATAAAGACCAATAGACTAGAGTCTGAGTGAGAGGCAGAAATATGTAGTATTTATCGTCTGTTTTATTTCCTCAATGCGAGTTCGCATATTCAAGAAGCACATTTAAATTACATTCTTAACAAATAACGTCCATTGGAGGAATCATTGAGTGGAATATAAGAGAGAGATGAGTGGAAGAAGAGCAATTGGTTGAGTCTCACCTTGGTAATTAGTGGAGTGACTGACCTGTTCCTCAGCAGCCAGATGTAATGTTTCTGGCTCCACCACGGTGCTGGAGGTGCCGGAGCCTGCAGGAGGTATGGAGGTAGCCATGAGTGTCAGCAGTGGTAGGTAGGGAGAGCTATATAACACTAACTAACTCACTAACTCCTCCTGCTAACACACTTCTCAAGGTAAACAAAACTCAGCTGATCATCAACATCGTTTTCTCTCATTCACAAAACCAGGTCAATATTATTACTGTTATTATATTATCTTCACACCAGTCTTATCTCTCCTTCTTATATTCCATTAAAAATATCGAGTGTTTTTTTGTTGAGGAAGGGAAGATAAGTATTGTTGGTGTAGTCATTATTGGTTGATGTTATTTCAGCAGTGAACGAGACAAAAATGGAGTGTTTTGTGAGTGAAGGAAGAGCACAGCTGTGTCTTGCTAGTATGTCAAGCTTCTCCTCATAATATTGTCTATATACTGTTATAATAAGTGAAGTAGAAGGCAGATATTGTTGTTGTCAGTAGTGTTACAACAGTAGTCCACAACAGTCACTTCAACACGTCATCTCAACATCACTTCTATCTTTCATGTTTACATTCACTGTGACATTTAACAATCATCCAGCTCAGGGAGGGTATTAAAAGTCACCTCGGATAATACAGCACCTTTATAGTAGGTCAGCTGGTCCATATTAGGCAGGTCTTATCTTTTCCTGCTTACGCCCACTCCTGCTAACTTGCAATTATAATTTATGATTCATGTTAAGCGCTAAACCCTTGTGTGTATGCAGCCAAGTCTGATAGTGTCTGTTTTACCTATTATGATCTGGTAGAGTGGTTCCCAAACATTATGATCTGGTAGAGTGGTTCCCAAACATTATGATCTGGTAGAGTGGTTCCCAAACATTATGATCTGGTAGAGTGGTTCCCAAACATTATGATCTGGTAGAGTGGTTCCCAAACATTATGATCTGGTAGAGTGGTTCCCAAATATTATGATCTGGTAGAGTGGTTCCCAAATATGATCTGGTAGAGTGGTTCCCAAACATTATGATCTGGTAGAGTGGTTCCCAGACATTATGATCTGGTAGAGTGGTTCCCAGACATTATGATCTGGTAGAGTGGTTCCCAAATATGATCTGGTAGAGTGGTTCCCAAATGATTGGTAGATGGTTCCAATATTTATCTGGTAGAGTGGTTCCCAAACATATGATCTGGTAGAGTGGTTCCCGACTTATGATCGGTAGAGTGGTTCCCAAAATTATGATCTGGTAGAGTGGTTCCCAAAATAGATCGGGAGTGTTCCAAACATTTTGATCTGGTAGAGTGGTTCCCAAACATTATGATCTGGTAGAGTGGTTCCCAAACATTATGATCTGGTAGAGTGGTTCCCAAACATTATGATCTGGTAGAGTGGTTCCCAAACATTATGATCTGGTAGAGTGGTTCCCAAATATTATGATCTGGTAGAGTGGTTCCCAAATATGATCTGGTAGAGTGGTTCCCAAACATTATGATCTGGTAGAGTGGTTCCCAGACATTATGATCTGGTAGAGTGGTTCCCAGACATTATGATCTGGTAGAGTGGTTCCCAAATATGATCTGGTAGAGTGGTTCCCAAATATTATGATCTGGTAGAGTGGTTCCCAAATATGATCTGGTAGAGTGGTTCCCAAACATTATGATCTGGTAGAGTGGTTCCCAAACATTATGATCTGGTAGAGTGGTTCCCAGACATTATGATCTGGTAGAGTGGTTCCCAAACATTATGATCTGGTAGAGTGGTTCCCAGACATGATCTGGTAGAGTGGTTCCCAAACATTATGATCTGGTAGAGTGGTTCCCAGACATTATGATCTGGTAGAGTGGTTCCCAAATATTATGATCTGGTAGTGTGGTTCCCAGACATTATGATCTGGTAGAGTGGTTCCCAAATATTATGATCTGGTAGAGTGGTTCCCAAACATTATGATCTGGTAGAGTGGTTCCCAAACATTATGATCTGGTAGAGTGGTTCCCAGACATGATCTGGTAGAGTGGTTCCCAAACATTATGATCTGGTAGAGTGGTTCCCAAACATTATGATCTGGTAGAGTGGTTCCCAGACATGATCTGGTAGAGTGGTTCCCAAACATTATGATCTGGTAGAGTGGTTCCCAGACATGATCTGGTAGAGTGGTTCCCAAATATTATGATCCGGTAGAGTGGTTCCCAAACATTATGATCTGGTAGAGTGGTTCCCAAACATTATGATCTGGTAGAGTGGTTCCCAAACATGATCTGGTAGTGGTTCCCAAACATTATGATCTGGTAGAGTGGTTCCCAAACATTATGATCTGGTAGAGTGGTTCCCAAACATTATGATCTGGTAGAGTGGTTCCCAAACATTATGATCTGGTAGAGTGGTTCCCAAATATTATGATCTGGTAGAGTGGTTCCCAAACATTATGATCTGGTAGAGTGGTTCCCAGACATTATGATCTGGTAGAGTGGTTCCCAAACATGATCTGGTAGTGGTTCCCAAACATTATGATCTGGTAGAGTGGTTCCCAAACATTATGATCTGGTAGAGTGGTTCCCAAACATTATGATCTGGTAGAGTGGTTCCCAGACATTATGATCTGGTAGAGTGGTTCTCAAATATTATGATCTGGTAGAGTGGTTCCCAAATATTATGATCTGGTAGAGTGGTTCCCAAAAAATTATGATCTGGTAGGTGGTGTCCCAACATTATGATCTGGTAGAGTGGTTCCCAAATATTATGATCCGGTAGAGTGGTTCCCAAACATTATGATCTGGTAGAGTGGTTCCCAAACATTATGATCTGGTAGAATGGTTCCCAGACATGATCTGGTAGAGTGGTTCCCAAACATTATGATCTGGTAGAGTGGTTCCCAAACATTATGATCTGGTAGAGTGGTTCCCAAACATTATGATCTGGTAGAGTGGTTCCCAAATATGATCTGGTAGAGTGGTTCCCAGACATTATGATCTGGTAGAGTGGTTCCCAGACATTATGATCTGGTAGAGTGGTTCCCAAATATTATGATCTGGTAGAGTGGTTCCCAAATATTATGATCTGGTAGAGTGGTTCCCAAACATTTCTAGACCAAAGACTTCCAAACCATGACTCCATGCAGCCCATCACCTGTTATAATGCACCTTGTAATGGTGGCCTCAACAGTGACCTCCATAACATATTAGTAATACCCTTTGATGCACACATATCAGGTGGATTAATAGTGAACAATGTAGTAAAAACAGCAAATGCGAAATTAGACCTAAAAGGATCCAAAATCAAGAACTCCCTACCTGATAACTTCAGAGCCTCTTATCTGCCAGCTGCTTCAAAACCATTGTAAAAATATCACCTTTCCCTCATGTGAGCGTTATAACAATAATAGTGAACAATTCTTTCAACCTTAAATATATATAAAACTATGTATTATTCTCATATACTTGCATTCAAAATCTAGCATTAAAGAGATAGTCTGCCTGTTTGTTTGTTTGCCATTAAGTAATACCATTGTAATTATGTACCTACTCTTGATTCTCAAATTCAGCATATCTCATTTCCTCTGATTTAGTTTTGCTATTTTTCAGATGAAATTTATTTTTAGAAATTAGAACATGAAACTGTTAATATCGCTAGTCACTGCTTCCAGAATTCGAGTGCTTCAATTGACTGTCGTCTAATGTAAAAAAAAAAAAAAATGTATCTATGAACTTAATAGACTATAACCCAAATAGTTTTTCTTGTGTACAGTGATATAGTTACCTACTTACATGCACATTCATTATACAGTGGTACCTTGACTTAGGAGTTTAATTCGTTCCATGACCGAGCTCGCAACTCAATTTGCTCATACAGGTCTCCCTCCACATTTCCGAGGGTTAAGAAATCAAGAACCTTGCGAATGTTAAAAAATCTCGAATGTTTGGTGCACAAATATACTGTAGGGAAATATAATACTAATAGCATTTACTTAGCCTAACAATACTGCTTCCTTAACCTATTGAACCATGAACAATCATAAAACAGGATTGTAGATGAATGGTTTAAAGAACCGACATGTTGTTAAATTAGACACGTGTGCAACTCTTGGGTATCTTTATTGAGGGACTGATTACCTCATTCTCCTCCTGTTCTTCAAGTTTCTCCTATGTATGGACTGATGAAGCCACTGTGTGGCAAAACGTTTCCTCAATAAAGATACCCAAGAGTTGCACATGTGTCTAATTTAACAATCATAAAACACATGAAAACATCGTAAAATATTGTACTAGTGCCATCCCTTTGGTAAAGAAGGTGAGAAAAACTATAGAATTCAAGAAAGAACTGGTAGCAGAGTAACGAAGTGGAGGAGGAAGAGAGAGGGGAGAATGTGCCTTCTTCAGTGATTCAGTGGCACGAGTCAATAAAGGCCAGCGATTAAGTGTAGCATTAACAGTGCAGCAAGTAAATTTTTAGTTTAATATGTTTATTATGCACCCCATACCCATCCTGTGGGCAGTAGTCAAAAGATTACAGAGGTACATAATTGGTCCAGGGACTGGACTCCAAAGTTTTGATAGCTGAACAAGTTACAAAGGTAATGAACTAGATCTGGTCATAATCATGACCAAGTTACAAAGGTAATGAGCTCCAGGTTGAGCTGGTCACACTCATGAATAATTGCAAAGGTAATGAATCATAAACACATTAATCATGAGAATTTACAAAGGTAATGAGCTCCAGGTAGAGCTGGTCACAATCATGACAAGTTTCAAAGGTAATGAATGATAAACACGTTATGACATGATTACAATCATAGACAAATTACAGAGTAATGAGCAGTTAACAAACATAGTAGGGATTCATCCATTGCCCCAACAACAGATGTTGCTAGGTGCCTGTCTCTCCTCGGTAGACAGCCATTGCAAACAGCAGCAAGTTGCCCAGGGATCTGCTGCTTGCACGAGCACCATCGACCCTCCCCAAGAGGTCTAAGAAGCCAGTGACTCCGTTAGCAGCCCGATGGAGAGCTGTCCTAGGGACATGTCAGCGTCCTGGTGGACGCCAAGTTGATTGAAGATCCCAGGCCCTCGTGTGCACGGATGTTGAAGCTTGAGGAACTGAGTACACACTGCCTGTGGCACACCTGGCAACTGCCTCGCGGTCGAACTCCACGATGCTGTCCCTGTAGTGGAAGTTCCTGTGAACCCGGCACTCCCTGCAGTGTCATCGCTGACATCGTGGGTTAGGGGAGAAGTACCCTCTACAGATGGGGTGGTGCTGGGAGTTGGGTGGGTGAGGCGGGGGAGACGCGCAGGGGTGAGGCGTTATGAGAGGGTCACTGTTTACTACACACGCCCTCCCCCTCCCCCCCCAGCGGAGAGGGGGGGAGGCGCTGACTGGTCCTGACTCAACAACACCAAACCCTCTAAAACTGCACAACACTT